TCTTTGTCTTTGTCACAAACGAAACATTGTTTTTTATTATTTGCCATTGCCATTGCTTTGAAGAAAATGATCGAAAGTTTAAAAAACGATCGCTGTGAATCGAAAAGAATCGATGTGAAGAAAACAAAAATAGTTGGAAGAATATTTTGTTTAAAGAAATCTGAATCATCATGAAAACAATCGCATAAGAAGAATGAAAAAGAAGACATTTCATTGGAGAATTTTTCATCAAAGTCGAATTTGTGTTTTCTTCTGCTCTTGGGAAAATCCCAGAAAAGCAAATGAGAAAATCGATCGATCTGATTTTGTTAATCAAAAGACGAGGATTTATTCACAACAGTCGACCGATGTTTCCCAGTTTTCAACTTTATCGGAGAAAATCAGAATAATTAAGGGTGTGAAAACCTTTGATTTGTTCGAAATGATCTTTAATAACGATGAACTATTAGACGAAAATGTTTCACTTGACAAATTATTCGTTGAATAACGAATACAAATTCATATTTGTTCAATAGAAACAAAATTTAATATTGTGATTGTTCAAATCTTCGAATTGAACTTTTATTTGTTTTTCAGATGAACATGAAAATGTTTGTGATGCACCAGGTTTTCGTTTATTCTTCTCTTATAACACTAATAAATTTGTATGAATCAATTGATAAGATTCTTTCTCGTTTGTCGATCTGGACAAAACACGACATGTAGAAATATTTTCGTCTCTACATTATTTTCTCTTCAGACATCAAATATAGTTCAGGTATTCTTCTCTCATTTACCCCACCCATCTTCTTCTCTTTCTTCTTATATTCTCTTGTTTGTACTTTATCGGATCTTCTACTTCTATCCTTTTTTCACTTTTCACCCCAAATAAAGTTTTATCCAATGTAAATTTTCGTTTGTTCACTTGATCTGAATTCTCTTCTCTCTATTTTCCTCGTAATTTTACAAAATGATTTTACATCAATTCAAAGTTGACTGTTTCAAAGTTTTCATCGATTTTACAATATTTGTGAAATATGTAGTTAATCACATATTGAGAAACTGATTTTCGTTGTAGAATGCTCAACACGTTTTCTTACACTTTAGATCATAGATATTTATCAGTGGAAAAAATTCAAAATTAGCGTTACTTTGTCGGTGGAGGATTAGTTGGATTGTCAATGACCCTTTTTCTACGATGGTATGGACTACGTATTGTACTAGTTGCCCAATTACGAGAGTGCAGTGGAAAACAATACACTCTGTCTGCTGACTATATGGTAAAGCGGCAAATGGTCATGATAGTCCGATTCGTAGAATATTAGGTATTAATCGTAGTAGACGTGGTCATATTCGTTCTGTACGAAGTGTTTTGTTTCCTGCGCAACTTGAAGAATATCTTCAGTCAGGAGTCAGACAGTTCAAAATAAAACAGCCGGATTTTGATCNCGACGGCTGGAAATACATTCGAATCGTGTTTAGATGGTGTTATTCTTATTTTTTTGGACAAACGTTTTGAAATGGCATGGAGAAAATCGTTTGATGCAATTCGACAGAAGTTTGGTGGGCAAAAAAAGAACAAAGTCACTCCGACATGTCAACAAATATTAGTTAGACAGAACGAAGTTCATCTACGGAAAGAGGAAGTTGTACGAGTGACACGAGCCATTTTAGCTTGATAAAGAGAAGTCAATTTTCACACTCTTAGCCTCAAATTCTAAGAAAAACTCAGATGTCAAAAGATTAAATTAAATTCCGCGGATATTCTGACACTTTCACCATCAAGATTAAAGATTATTCGGTCTGATTTCGCTGATGAAAATCCAGATTGATTTATTAAGTTTTGTTCATTTGTACTATGAGAAAAAAAGATGTTTTCGCTTGAGATCGTTGAAGTGAAAATGAATTGAGAATAGTTGCCGTTTTGATACAGCTCGATGTTTGGGATAATATAATTTTGATCACCAAGAAAAAATGTATTTGATAACCAGCTGCTAATGATCACCAAAAAAAGATACTTTAGATCACCAATTTTTTCAAATTCATTCATTATATTTATTTTTCAAAAAGTGGAACACAAATAGTGATAATATCTATATGAGAAGAAGGGAGAAGTGACTTAATTTATATTTATGTAGCGTAAGCTTTGTTAACTTATTTTGGACGTCCTCTTCCTTTTCGTTTACCCAATGGTTGAATACGTGCTTTTTCACTAACTTGATATAAATTAAACGCAATAGCTAGACCAACTGAATGTTTACACGAATATACCTTCAAACCAACAGAGCATGTACACGATTCTAATGGAGCAACCAACCAGCAAGATTTTTGCCATAATGAAAATTCATCGAATGTATTCCAACAGCGAGAAATGTAAGTAGTCAACCAATCAATCGATGGCATCTAACCACTGGATGATGGAACGACGTAAAAATTATTATACCAATGATGAATTCGACTACGATTAATGTCCATAGACCATTCGTATGCAGCTAATTCGTTTTCCGATGAGATGGGTGTTTGAACAGCAAATGGATTGATATCGGAGTCTTTTGACCAATCTTCCAACATTGACTCAATTTTAGGAAGAAACGATGATAAGTGTAACTTGTTACGTAATGTATATTCACGTTTGATTTTGGCATTAAAAGATTCACACCCATTATTAGTAGAAGGTAAATTCAAGGCACTACCTTCATACCTAAAACATAAGAAAATAAGAATAGAAGATATGGATTTTATGAAGTTTTTTTACCAAGAGGGAAGTTTTTCAGTCCATTGCTTTTTGAAATATTCATAAAAACTAGTTACTGATGAATCTGCACGCTATTTAGCCATTAGTAGACTTATTCCATGGTTGAACACATCGTCGCTAAAACTCAACTGTACATCGTGAATCTCTTTATCAACTTCTTTCCATTTAGACTGAGTCATAAGATTTCGATGAACACGACATTTTTGCATTATATGAAACCAACACATAAAATGTTTTGAATTTGGAAATCTTTTATTTTGAGCTGCTGTGATTCCTTAAAACAAAATATTTAGCAATATGTTACAAACATCATGTTTTTTTTTGTCATACCAGGTGCTCCATCAGCCATAACAAACCGTGGATAGTATGGTTGATGGAGTTCTTGTATACTAAGTGATCGAAGAGAATTAAACAGATGTTCATAACATGATGCATCCTCGTCTTCAGAAACAAGAGCAACACCAAATGGTTTAAAGTTTCTCTTACAATCTGATGCACCAAAAACTAATAAAGGTAATTCATTCCAGGTAACCTTATAAGTCGCATCTATTTGAATTAATGGACTTTGCTGTATTCTACGAATCAATTGTTTTGTCGTGAACAAAACAAACAAGTCATTTATATCGTTTATAAAGTAATATGACACGAAAGTTGAATGTGGTACGGAACCATCCCGGTGAATATCACACCACTGCTGAAAATCGAACACTGAAAATATTTCAACACGGTTTCTTCGCCGTTCTGTTTGTACTATTGCTGTTAATTGATTTGATGGCACTGGTATATTTGGATGCTCCTTCAAGAATGCTGAACGAAAACCAATTTCGACATATTTGGCAACTGATTGTCGTACTGGAGACGGTAGACGAGTTGTATCATTTCGATATTCATGGCTGTGAGCATTCTTAAACATTATTGTAATCGAATTTGGATCATCATCTGACACTGTTGCTTTAAGTTCGTAGATAAATATAGGATATTTGCGATACTGACTGCATTTGAATGAAAATTCTGTAGAACCAACAAGATTATGTGTTCGATATTGACAAACACCATTTGATTTAGCAATAGTTTTCACTTTATCAAGTGAATGAACTACAATAAGTAGTTTCCAATCTGATACTGACATGTTTTCAAATGAATATTTTTTTATGTGTTCTATAGTATAGTAGACAACTTAAGATGACGAAATGTTATTTGAATGAACAAAGAAAGAGATGATGCAATATCAGTAACTTTTGAAAATTTTGGTGATCAAAAATATTCACACCCCTAATGTTCACTTGAAATTATTTAAAATAGTAATCAATACAGGATGAACAGTTGTTCCAATTCTTTTTTCAAACCACTGTGAAATCCTATATAAATATTATCCTTATCAAGAGACCACATGAAATGTCAATGTTACTGCAACTTTTACTTAAATGATGTTTGTGTGTATCTTGATCGATTTAGCTCTCTTAGTGATTGTTACTCTGAGAGTTATGATTGTAATAGTGATAGATGACTGTTCTGGTTATAATCATTGTTTTTGCTGAAGTTTATCATGTTGATAAAATCAATGGTCTTGACAATCTCTCCAATCAAATTTGTTGTCATTTCGTTTTCAAATATTATATTCAGAATATTTTTCATTTTGATTGAATTGTTAATTTTTGAACATTACTCGCATTTAATTCACGCGTATACACACGAAATTCATCGATAAAACCATCATATGAAGTTCCATTAACGTCACATACGTAACAATTTTGTGAACAATTGCCAACAGTGATTGTATATGATGGATCGATTGAAAAAGAACTTGAAGAGTATGTTTGATTAAATAATGTTCCATTAATATAAAGTTTAATTCCATTATTTATCGAATATGTCTGTGTAATATGTGTCCATGAATTTGAAATCACCGAAGGACCCATGATTGTTTGATTTTGGGGATATTCTAAGATAATATGACCTTGATCGTTCAATGAGATCATATTCCAACATGAAAAGTTGTTTGAAACATGAACGATACTTGTCGAATTAGTTGAAGATGGATTAATCCATAGTGCAATAGAAGAAGATGCATTATCGATATTAGGAAGGATGAAAGTTTCGATTTGAAAATATGAAAAAGATTGATAAAATTGAAGAGCATCATTAATTAAGATAACATTGTATGATGTTCCAATGATTCTATTTGGACCAGAATCAAGAAATGAATTATTATTAAAAGCAAAATAGAAGACAAGAGTAGCATCATCAAGTATTTCATTGGAAGATTTTGGTCGACTACTGTATGATAATTGATCAATATATCCATGATATGCTTCAGAATTAACAAGATTTTGTATATTACCGATAGTTAATGGAATATTCATCATTGGATTCAAACCAACCGAAGGGATAACACTATTATCAAGTTGATCATTGATAAAAATTGATTGTCGAAGTCCTCCTGTAAGATTATAAACAAAAGCAATATGATACCAAATATTAAAAAGTAACAGTCGTTTTCCACTACAATCATATCCATAAAAACTCAAATAACTGTGGTTACTTCGTACTAACATATGTAGACAATTTCCTGTACTTTGACGTAAACATTGACCTACTAAATCGGAGAAATGTAAAAGGAAAGATCAATTGTATCACGTCCTATTGGAATATTTGTTGATAAAAGCCAAAATATTTTCATTTCAATTCATCGGAAATTTGACAAAATTACACTTGAAAAATCTTCCTAATTCATTCAAATGTTCTTTTCAGGAAAAGAAAAGTTTGGACGATAATTTATATCAAATCCAATAGAAAAAGAAACCGAAAATGGCAGAAATGTCTATTGAATCGTTCAACTATCGACCGTTCTCCGAGTTTTCAATACGTTTTTTTTTGTTATGATAAAACTTTGTTTCCACTCTAATTAATCAAAGATATCTGCAATTATTTACAAAAGACCATCACTTTCGCTTATTCGAGTAATTTTGCAGAATGAGTAACGTGATAAAAAGCGATAATACAGAGCTTTAGAGACCTATGACATCAGTTCAACACTCAAAACAATTTTACCTTTCGCAACGCAAATAAATTTTCCCTTTAAACACATCACGTTCTGGATTTTATTGACTTTGACTCCGAATTTATCTTTTTATCTCGAACAATTTAGATAAATGTTTCACAAAACATCTCGTTTCATTCGCAATGGCAATGGCAAATAACAAAAAACAATGTTTCGTTTGTAACAAAGACAAAATAATTTATCCTTGTCGAGGTTGTTCAAAGGAATTCTGTTTTGAAGATTTAACAAAACATCTGCGGAATTTAAATGAAGATTTCAACACGATTGTCAATGATTATGATCAATTTAGAGATCAAATCAATCAAAAACAACCCGTTTCTTCCTCGATGAAACAAATTGATCAGTGGGAAAAGAAATCGATCGAATTAATTCAACAAACAGCTCAACGATATCGAAATATTTTAATCGAAAAAGAAAGAAAAGGTCTCGATAAATTAAGGAGAAAATTTGATGAAATAACAGAAAAAATGAAAAAAGTTCAAAAAGAAAATGAATTTAATGAAATGGATTTGAATTATTTCAAAGATCAATTGATGGAAATGAAAAAACATTCGGAAAGTCAAATGGAAATGAATTCAAATGAAAATTCACAAATATTCATCGAAAAACTCTCGAAAAGAGTTACTCAAAGTATGTGAACGATTTCAATGAGAAGAGAATTCTGAAGATTTCGAAGGAAATGAAAATTGATTTGAAGAAAAATTCTCATTGGAATAAATCTCGAGAAAATCTCGAAATTTGAAAGGAAAATAGAAAATTCTTTGTAGATTCGAATAATTTCAAATGATTAGATGAGTTTATTTTGAGAGAATTCGTGAAAAANAGATATGGAGAAGATCCTGTCAAATATTGGGTACCGTTGAAAACCAAAGCGGCACCTCGACCATAAATTCCTGGTGAAATATATGAAACAACACCTTTTTGTGTCATATAAACAAAACTTGATTCATCATTGATACTTTGATCAAATGGCCATAATAAATCAGTAAAATTTCTCGGTGGATATTGTAGAAAATAGAATGAAGTATTTAATTCGTGATTTAACTGATTACGGGAAAAGTTTAGACCGTTATTGAATAGTTGACATGTTCTATTGTTCTGATAACAATTAAATGACACAATCGTTTGATTTGAATTTATCATTAAACATAAACATTTTGTATCAAACCGATTTGAATAGTTTGAATATAATTGAAAAGTAATAGAAGAATCAATGGAATGATCATTATGATGAAATGAGAGTCGATTTCTTACACATTTGTTCTTTCTAACTTCTTTTTATTCGACAAATTTAATATTTAAATGAAGACAAACAATCATCGAGAAAGTAATTAAAGTATACGTTTACGTAACGTGTATAAAGAGTTAAAACAAATAAAATGTTCATAGACGTCAAAAGAGATCGACCTATTTGATCGGGAAGCTCAGGTTTCATTAAATAAACGAGAACGAGTTTCATTTTCCAATGAAAAATATGCCGATTGTTTCGTCAAAGAAAATGTTCTTCTGTTCAGAAACAAAAGTCGTTCCAGAGAAGAGTGTGGAGTGAAGATAACGGAGTAACTATTGATTTTTCTGCTCCCAATGCGATCAGATCCACCCTAAAAACAAATAACCCTTTCAAGATGAGTAACAACTATAATAGCCGCTGGTTGTTTACGAACGGAGAAATGATTTTCGCTAAGAACCAGATAAACTTGTGATAATGATATGTCTCTAAGATTATACGTCGATGATAATATGAGAAATACAAAACATATTGAAGTAGAGAAGTATATGTAAAAGGAAAGATCAATTGTATCACGTCCTATTGGAATATTTGCTGATAAAAATCAAAATATTTTCATTTCAATTCATCGGAAATTTGACAAAATCATACTTGAAAAATCTTCCTAATTGATTCAAATGTTCTTCTCAGGGAAAGAAAAGTTTGGACGATAGTTTATATAAAATCCAATAGAAAAACAGCC